ATGCTTTCCATTTTCTTCCTGTCATCTCAATTCATGTTAAAGTTCATTTTACCTTTACCAGATCTGAAAATCTCGATTTTGTTCAATGATTGCAGCTTCACAGTCTTCATTCTCATTGTGACAATGTTTGCTGTTAGAAATGTATCTAAATTCAGGATCCTCGTTTTTTCATATTTATTTTTGAGAATGCTTTCCATTTTCTTCCTGTCATCTCAATTCATGTTAAAGTTCATTTTACCGCTTTACCAGATCTGAAAATCTCGATTTTGTTCAATGATTGCAGCTTCTGTCTTCATTCTCATTGTGACAATGTTTTGCTGTTAAAAAATGTATCTAAATTCAGGATCCTCGTTTTTTCATTTTTTTTTTGAGAATGCTTTCCATTTTTCTTCCTGTCATCTCAATTCATGTTAAAGTTCATTTTACATTTACCAGATCTGAAAATCTCGATTTTTGTTCAATGATTGCAGCTTCACAGTCTTCATTCTCATTGTGACAATGTTTGCTGTTAGAAATGTATCTAAATTCAGGATCCTCGTTTTTTCATATTTATTTTGAGAATGCTTTCATTTTCTTCCTGTCATCTCAATTCATGTTAAAGTTCATTTTACCAGCTTTACCAGATCTGAAAATCTCGATTTTGTTCAATGATTGCAGCTTCACAGTTATTCTCATTTGACAATGTTTGCTGTTAGAAATGTATCTAAATTCAGGATCCTCGTTTTTTCATATTTATTTTTGAGAATGCTTTCCATTTTCTTCCTGTCATCTCAATTCATGTTAAAGTTCATTTTACCGCTTTACCAGATCTGAAAATCTCGATTTTGTTCAATGATTGCCAATTCTCATTGTGACAATGTTTGCTGTTAGAAATGTATCTAAATTCAGGATCCTCGTTTTTTTCCATATTTTGAGAATTTTCCATTTTCTTTCAAAAGAAAAAGCTCATTTTGTTCAATCCATTTTTCTTCATTCTGTCATCTCAATTCATGTTTATTTTTGAAATGTTCATTTTCTTCCTGTCATTAATTCATGTTAAAGTTCATTTTACCTTTACCAGATCTGAAAATCTCGTTTTGTTCAATGATTGCAGCTTCACAGTCTTCATTCTCATTGTGACAATGTTTGCTGTTAAAATGTATCTAAATTCAGGATCCTCGTTTTTCATATTTATTTTTTGAGAATGCTTTCCATTTTTTCTTCCCTGTCATCTCAATTCATGTTAAAGTTCATTTTACCGCTTTTTAGATCTGAAAATCTCGATTTTGTTCAATGATTGCAGCTTCACAGTCTTCATTCTCATTGTGACAATGTTTGCTGTTAGAAATGTATCTAAATTCAGGATCCTCGTTTTTCATATTTATTTTTTGAGAATGCTTTCCATTTTCTTCCTGTCATCTCAATTCATGTTAAAGTCTATTTTACCGCTTTTACAGATCTGTTTATTTTTCAGAGTCGATTGCATTTCATTATCTTCATTCTCATTGTGACAATGTTTGCTGTTAGAAATGTATCTAAATTCAGGATCCTCGTTTTTTTTCATATTTTATTTTTGAGAATTTTCATTTTCTTCCTGTCATCTCAATTCATGCATTTTTCCGCTTTTACCAGATCTGAAAATCTCGATTTTTGTTCAATGATTGCAGCTTCACAGTCTTCATTCTCATTGTGACAATGTTTGCTGTTAGAAATGTATCTAAATTCAGGATCCTCGTTTTTTCATATTTATTTTTTGAGAATGCTTTCCATTTTCTTCCTGTCATCTCAATTCATGTTAAAGTTCATTTTACCCTTTACCAGATCTGAAAATCTTGATTTTGTTCAATGATTGCAGCTTCACAGTCTTCATTCTCATTTGTGACAATGTTTGCTGTTTAAATGTATCTAAATTCAGGATCCTCGTTTTTCATATTTATTTTTTTGAGAATGCTTTCCATTTTCTTCCTGTCATCTCAATTCATGTTAAAGTTCATTTTACCGCTTTACCAGATCTGAAAATCTCGATTTTGTTCAATTTGCAGCTTCACAGTCTTCATTCTCATTGTGACAATGTTTGCTGTTAGAAATTTGGATCCTCGTTTTTTTCATATTTATTTTTCTTGAGAATGCTTTCCATTTTCTTCCTGTCATCTCAATTCATGTCAGAGTTAATTTTACCGCTTTACCAGACGTGCAAATCTAGATTTTGGCTTTTATTTATTTTGCACAGTAGGTTTTGACTTCTATGATCTGATTGATTTTTCCTTAATTCCAAAATACAAATTTCCTCAGAAAGTTAATAATCTTTATATATGGTACATTATTTATAGGGGTCTGCAATTTTTTTTTTCATGTCCTAAATGATACATATAATTGTATGTGAAGATAATGAGACAAAGTGGAAAATTTTTATCAGAGATGTGTTTTGCTGGAGAAAGCTTGTGTTCATGGCAGGATGTATAGTCATATCTGAAATACATCCTATAAATGCACATCCTGTTGACATGGAAAATGCAAAGACAAAACAATAATTAATCAGAATATACAGAGCTATCTTGCTTTTGGCCTATTTGTCTTCAAGTCTCAAGTCAGTGATAAGCTAGGGTAATTAATTTGATTTATGATACTCACTTATTCTCAGAAATCCCAAGATATTTTCCTAATGCAGTTTTATCTTTCTTTTAGTCAAACTGATAATAACAAACAGAACATAAACTTTAACTGGTGAAATGCATCTTTGATAAAACAATTTCCACTTTGTCTCATCATTATTTGTTCCAGATACTACTATACATCATACAAACACACATGTAACTGTATCTATGCCCCAAAAGATGACTTGAAATGGATACATAGCAGATATGACCTGTCCGAGTTTGCCTAAGCTATGAGTATGGCAGCAATGATCGACCAAAGATAATTTTTGTTCATTCATACTGGCCCAATTAAATGGCTTGCTAGCCCAATTAAATGCTTTGCTGGTTCAAATAAACAGTTTGCTATGTAAATAAGAACATTTTTTCAAATGTGCTTGTTTTTTTTTAATTTGACTGAAGCAGATTCTTTTAATATTTTTTTAGACTTCTGCTCAAAGCAATTCTTTCTGTACAGCTCAAATGTTTGGTGCTCAACCTTCTATCAGATAAAGTGTAATTTTCTTTGGATACTTTATGAAAATAAGAAAGCATGCTTTAAAATGGCAAATTAGGAAATTTTAATTTTGAGTGTGAAAGAACAAAATAAAAAAACAAACTGTACACGAAAGTGTTGATAAAAACCATTTGTTTGTCATTGAGACAAAATGTTTTTATCTTTTATTGCATTTGCACTTAGCTCAAATATCAAAGATTACAAATAATGTTTTGTTTAGTTTAACTGAAGATATTTAAGAGTCTGTCTGTTAAATGTTAAGGCCAAATCTGTTTGTTATCTAATGTCAGTCTAAAGAATATGCAAGTTCTTCTGACTGTTTGCTAAGGCTTGCTAGAGAGGAAGTGAGTCTGCTTGTGCATAATGTTTGCTAGTGTTTTAGGATGTCAGTACAGCACAACATTCAAAATGGCTGCAATTAATGATTTTTTTATTTTTATTTTTTATTTTTTTATTTATTTATTTATTTTTTTTTTGAAGGCCAATTCTGTGAAAATTCCATGTTTGGTTATTTTGATATTCATGTTCAACTTTACCCTCTTTTAAGCTTTCATAAGTATTGGAGTATATAAAGACATAAACACAAGAATTATATAATCTATCTACATCTGTTCATATCTGTTTATCTTTCAGAATTTATTCATATTTATCTATCTATCAATCTCAGGGTGCAAATTTACTATGGAAGATCTAGTGATTAAAGCATATTCTAAACATTTTCATCTTAGTGAAATGTTTTCCCTTATCAGAGTAGCATTTTTTTTATATCAAAATAGTTGTGTCTCATTACAGTGAGCAATTAATGCATTTAATGTGTTGTTTTGTAAAATATCCCTTTTGTGTTCATATAATCTTTTATTTAAATTTCTTGAGGTTTCTCTGATGTATCCTTTGTGGCAATCATTATGGTAATAGAGTAAATTCTTCCTTCAAGTTTTAGCTTATTCTTTTGTTTTGTATTGATTAAGTTTTTCATTGTTTTAGATGTGGTTGTGATAAATTTTATGTTGAGTTTAGATAAATTCTTTTCAATTGTAGTTGTGATAGATTTAGTGGGCAGAATTTTGATTCATTGGGTCTGTCAGGAGGGGTCAGTTTTCTGTTTTGGAATATTTTATGAGCCTTTTGTTTCACATTGATATGACATAGCTAGGGTATTGGAAGAGTTTTAAAGTTGGAAGTATTTTAAATGTATTTCTTCTCTTCATGTAAATTTTGAAGGCTACAAATTCTGCATGCTCTTAAATAGAATCTGATAATTATTCTGAATTTTATTTTGTTGTTATGATGGAAATAGAAATTTATTAGATCATTTTTATGAGTTGATTTTCAGTGGAAAACTAAGTTTTAAGCTGCTGTTAATGCAGTGTAGCATGATATCTAGGAAAGGTAAAGTATTGTTTTGTTCTATTGTGTATATAAATTCTATTGTATGTTCAACATAATTTAGTTTATCTACCAGATCAGGTAAATCAGAATCATGGGGATATATTAATAGAGCATCATCAATATATCGGAAGTAAGTTGATTGTTTTGTAATGAAGGAGTTACTTGCCTATCACAAAAAGAATTTGCGTGGCAACATGGATTGTTTGTGGATGTAAACAGAATTGTTTGCAGTGTGATTCAAAACTGAGCCTCGCATTAACCAGTTTAGGTTACTTTATCCAAGTAAAATGAATGCACAATAGACTAGCCAAAATGTTGGGAGATTCACATGATTTGCATATGCATATGCAAATCTAATCCAAACACCCAGATCGAGTACTTTGGGAGAGAATAAAAGAGCAAACAAGACTGACACTGGCAGTCAGGAGAAAGGTGTTCTTAACGGTGTTTCTAAGGATGACCAGGGTGAGCAAAAAACTGAGATGAGCGATTGTGTTTCTTTCTGTTTTTCTTTTACTTCACTTTCTTTTCACTTCATGTTTAGGTAAAATATTTTCGAAAGGATCAGATTCAAGAAATTCTAAGAAAATATATGCCATCATTTCACTAAGAGGAGATCCCATTGGTAATCCAAATTTTTGTTTGGTAAAAATTATTATTAAATGTGAAATAGCATTGATTGGTGATGAGATGGCAGATTTTTATTATTTTAGCTATTCGTAGGGAGATGTTTATCTTTGATTGTTTTAGATGCTTTTTTAAGAGATCTAAGCATTTTTTAACTGGGATGTTGGTGTAAAGGGATTTTATATCTAGACTGGCCATGTGTTTATCAGTCATATTTGTTTCCTTTAGTTTTTCAACTGGGTTGCCTGAATTTTTTTATATGTGATGTGTTGATTGTTCCAAGGAGAGGAGTTAAAGTTTTTGTTATGGCTTTTACCAGTTTGTGGGGTGGGTGGGGGTGTTGGTGCTGTCTATTCCGGAAATAATAATAGGGAGCATTGTTTGCAGGGTTTTAGGGAGGCCATAAAGTTTAGCGTGATATTCTGTTAGTCTATACCATGATTTGTTTTCATTTTTAATTAGTTTCCTAATTTCTCTGTGGTAAAATAATGAGTAGTTGCAGCAAAATAAACAAACTTAGTCTGATGAAGTCGTAAGGGACAAAACATGTTACACAAAAATTTTTTCCACTTTGTCATACATCTTTCCCCTGAAATTGTTCTTGATATATAAAAATTTATATATCATTACCCCATATATATATTTATAATATATATATATAAATACAAATATAGGTAACTATACTCGTTTTGAAAAATCCTCAAATTTTTGATTTGCCAATAATCAAATCAATTTGGAGGTTTATCTATCTTATATATATATATATATATATATATATATATATATATATATATATATATAAAAAATAATAGCTGGCCACCTATTTGAGGATATCTGTTTATTAGGGTGGCTAGCCAATCCTTATTGCAGACTCAGGCATATTTGTTCAACACCCACAGAGCCCACCTGTGGTTTATATTGCAAATATGTGGAGTGGACCCTAGTTACAGTTTCTGGGAGAGAGTGTGTTATCTATCGTGATCAACAATCGGAACAAGGCCAGCACATTTAAACCCTCAGTCACGACGACTTGTGATGTCATGCTAGCACAGTCATCGACAGCCCCCAATTTCACTCACAAGGCTTGGGTCAACCTGTGGTATGGTTTTCAAGCACTTTCCAAAGGTGCTGCATACTGAGATCGTCCCCCCCCTCCAGACTGATAATGTTAGGAAGTCTCCTTCCTGACAATTCAACCATGGTGAGATTGAAACCTGGGCCTCATGATCAGAAAGTGAATGTTTTAACCACTTTGTTTCCATATATATATATATATATATATATATATATATATATATATACATACACACACACACACACACACACACACACACATATATGCACGTACACACACGGTGACCTAAATGTAACCTATCAACACCTGTGCAAAGAGGAAGAATGAAAAAAAAATGAGCATAAAAATTTCCAGAGAGGAATTTAAAAGATTATAGAATGGGAGTAAGAATTTAAAATTAATACTTTTAGCAACCTTTGTCCAGTCGAGGGAAAATGTAGAGCATCTAATGTTATTTATGAAGACACCATTTACTCTAAATCAAACCACCAAATTTATATTGGGATTTCTGCAGGGGAATGGAAAAAAAGACTTTATAACCACAGACACTTTTTTTCCAACCCAAGACTAAAACACCAAACTACTCTCTCCTAAATTTTGGGAATTAAAGGAGAAAGACCTGGACCCTCAAATTGACTGAGAATTTGTTTTCTCAGATTCCAAATCACTTTACGGGTAGATGTAATTTCTATTTGGAGGAGAAAATTAAAATCATTAAATTTAAGAATCAAGATATTCTACTAAACAAAAGAAATGAATTGGTATCCAAAAAAAAAAAAAAATGCCAACTGACATATATATATGTGTGTATGTGTATGAGAGAGTGAAAGATTTTTTTGAATAATTTTCCTCATATTGTTCTTTTTATTATGGTGTTTTTGTCACTGAAGACTTCAGACTTTCTTATTGGTCTAATTTACTTTTTGGTTTAACAACATGATGTATTTTACATACAGTTTTCTAATAAACCTCCATAAAAATGCCACTTATACAAAAAATTATCTAAGGTGATTAAAAAGGAAAATCTTTATATGCTTAAAATCTTCAAAACAACAATGCTGATTGGTGGATTTTGCAATATTTTATACAAGCACAATTGCAACATGTCAAAATAAGATAAGCTGGGCATTTTTATGTCTCATTGTTTTTTTTTAATTTTTGATTGTTTCTTTCATTTTTTTTCTTTTCCTTTTTTTCTGTGTTTATAATTTTTTTGTTGAGCTGTATTTCATTTTTGCTAATCTATATTCTTTCTTTCTTTCTTTCTTTCTTTCTTTATGCATCTGTATTTTCTTCCTTTTTGTTTAGTGATATTTTTCTTTCTTTCTTTCTTTCTTTCTTTATATCTATTTTGTTTGTTTGTTTCATTTTCTTTCTTTTTTGTTTATCTATACTTTCTTTCTCGATCTGTGTTTCCTTTCTTTTTTTTATTCATCATTCATTCTTTCTTTCTTTCTTTCTTTCTTTCTTTATGCATCTGTATTTTCTTCCTTTTTGTTCAGTGATATTTTTCTTTCTTTCTTTCTTTATATCTATTTTGTTTGTTTGTTTCATTTTCTTTCTTTCTTTTTTGTTTATCTATACTTTCTTTCTCGATCTGTGTTTCCTTTCTTTTTTTTTTATTCATCATTCATTCTTTCTTTCTTTCTTTCTTTCTTTCTTTCTTTATGCATCTGTATTTTCTTCCTTTTTGTTCAGTGATATTTTTCTTTCTTTCTTTCTTTCTTTATATCTATTTTGTTTGTTTGTTTCATTTTCTTTCTTTCTTTTTTGTTTATCTATACTTTCTTTCTCGATCTGTGTTTCCTTTCTTTTTTTTTTTCATCATTCATTCTTTCTTTCTTTCTTTCTTTCTTTATGCATCTGTATTTTCTTCCTTTTTGTTCAGTGATATTTTTCTTTCTTTCTTTCTTTATATCTATTTTGTTTGTTTGTTTCATTTTCTTTCTTTCTTTTTTGTTTATCTATACTTTCTTTCTCGATCTGTGTTTCCTTTCTTTTTTTTATTCATCATTCATTCTTTCTTTCTTTCTTCCTTTCTTTATATCTATTTTGTTTGTTTGTTTCATTTTCTTTCTTTCTTTTTTGTTTATCTATACTTTCTTTCTCGATCTGTGTTTCCTTTCTTTTTTTTTCATCATTCATTCTTTCTTTCTTTCTTTCTTTCTTTATGCATCTGTATTTTCTTCCTTTTTGTTCAGTGATATTTTTCTTTCTTTCTTTCTTTCTTTATATCTATTTTGTTTGTTTGTTTCATTTTCTTTCTTTCTTTTTTGTTTATCTATACTTTCTTTCTCGATCTGTGTTTCCTTTCTTTTTTTTATTCATCATTCATTCATTTTTCTTTCTTTCTTTTTGTTTCTTTTCTTTTCTTTCTTTCCTTTTGCATCTGTATTTTCTTCCTTTTTTTGTTCAGTGATTCATTCTTTCTTTCTTTCTTTCTTTCTATTTTTTTTTTTTTTTTCATTTTCTTTCTTTCTTTTTTGTTTATCTATACTTTCTTTCTCGATCTGTGTTTCCCTTTCTTTTTTTTTCATCATTCATTCTTCTTTCTTTCTTTTTCTTTCTTTCTTTCTTTATGCATCTGTATTTTCTTCCTTTTGTTCAGTGATATTTTTCTTTTTTTTCTTTCTTTATATCTATTTTTTTTTTTTGTTTCATTTTCTTTCTTTTTTTTTTTTTATCTATACTTTCTTTCTCGATCTGTGTTTCTTTCTTTTTTTTTTTTTTTATTTCTTTCTTTCTTTCTTTTTTTTTTTTTTTTGTTCAATTTCATTTTCTTTATTTTTTCTTTTTTATTATTTTGTTTTGTTTTTCATTTTCTTTCTTTCTTTTTTGTTTATCTATACTTTCTTTCTCGATCTGTGTTTCCTTTCTTTTTTTTTTATTCATCATTCATTCTTTCTTTCTTTCTTTCTTTCTTTCTTTATGCATCTGTATTTTCTTCCTTTTTGTTCAGTGATATTTTTCTTTCTTTCTTTCTTTATATCTATTTTGTTTGTTTCCTTTTGTTTATCTATACTTTTTTTTTCTTTTCTTTTTTTTTATCTTCTTTCTTTCTTTTCTTTCTTTCTTTCTTTTGTTTCCTTTCTTTTTTTTTATTCATTTTCTTCTTTCTTCTATTTTTGTTTGTTTCTTTTCTTTCTTTCTTTTTTTTTATCTCTTTATTTCTCATCTGTATTTTTTTTTTTTTTTTCAGTGATATTTTTTCTTTTTTTCTTTTCTTTCTTTATCTTTTTTGTTTTCTTTGTTTCATTTTTTTCTTTTTTTTTTGTTTTATCTATATTTTCTTTCTTTCGATCTGTGTTTCCTTTCTTTTTTTTATTCATCATTCATTCTTTCTTTCTTTCTTTCTTTCTTTCTTTCTTTCTTTCTTTTTTTTGCATCTGTATTTTCTTCCTTTTGTTCAGTGATATTTTTTTCTTTCTTTCTTTTATCTCTATTTTGTTTTGTTTGTTTCATTTTCTTTGTTTTTTTTTTGTTTATCTATACTTTTTTCTCGATCTGTGTTTCCTTTCTTTTTTTTTTCATCATTCATTCTTTCTTTTCTTTCTTTCTTTCTTTGCATCTGTATTTTTTTTCCTTTTTTTTCAGTGATCTTTTTTCTTTTTTTTTCTTTATCTATTTTGTTTGTTTTTTTTTTTTCTTTCTTTTTTTTTTGTTTATCTATACTTTTTCTTTTTTTGGCTCATCTGTGTTTTTTCTTTCTTTTTTTTCTTTCATCATTCATTCTTTTCTTTCTTTCTTTCTTTTCTTTATATCTATTTTGTTTGTTTGTTTCATTTTCTTTCTTTTCTTTTTTGTTTTTCTATACTTTCTTTCTCGATCTGTGTTTCCTTTCTTTTTTTATTCATCATTCATTCTTTCTTTTCTTTCTTTTCTTTTTTTCTTTCTTTTTTTTTCTTTATTTATCTGTTTTTTTCTTTCTTTTTTCTTTCTTTCTTTTTTCATTTTTCTTTCTTTCTTTTCTTTATATCTTTATTTTTTTTTTTGTTCTTTGTTTCATTTCTTTTTTCTTTCTTTTTATCTTTTTTGTTTGTTTTCTTTTCTTTTCTTTCTTTTTGTTTATCTGTATTTTTTCTTCCTTTTTTTTTTTTTCATCATTCATTCTTTCTTTCTTTTCTTTTTGTTTCTTTTTTCATCTATTTTGTTTGTTTTTGTTTCAGTTTTTTTCTTTCTTTTTTTGTTTATCTCTATTTTTTTTTCTTCATTTTCTCTGTTTTTTCTTTTTTCTTTTTTTTCTTCCTTTTTTCATTCATTCTTTTTTTCTTTCTTTCTTTCTTTCTTTTCTTTATTTTCTTTATTTATGCATCTGTATTTTCTTCCTTTTTTTTTTTCAGTGATATTTTTTTCTTTCTTTCTTTCTTTCTTTATATCTATTTTGTTTTGTTTGTTTTTTTTTTTTTCTTTTTGTTTATCATACTTTCTTTCTCGATCTGTGTTTCCTTTCTTTTTTTTTATTCATCATTCATTTTTTTCTTTCTTTCTTTTTTTTCTTTCTTTTCTTTTTTCTCATCTGTTTTTTTATTCTATTTTGTTCAGTCATTTCTTTCTTTTCTTTTTTCTTTCTTTCTTTTTTTTATTTATTTTTTTTGTTTGTTTGTTTTCTTTTTTTTTTTTTTCTGTTTATCTTGTTTCATTTCTTTCTTTCTTTTTGTTTTTATTTCTTTCTTTCTTTTTTTTTTTTTCATTCATCATTCATTCTTTCTTTCTTTTTTCTTTCTTTATTTTTTTTTCTTTTTTTTTCCTTTTGTTTTTCTATTTTCTTTCTTTTTTTATTTTTTTTGATATTTTTTCTTTCTTTCTTTTTTTTATTCTTTTATATCTGTTTTGTTTGTTTGTTTCATATTTTTCTTTCTTTTCTTTTCTTCCTTGTTTTTTTTTTTTTTTTTTCTTTTTGTTTTTTGTTTATCTTTTTCTTTCTCGATCTGTGTTTTTTTTTTTTATTCTTTCTTTTTTTCTTTCTTTATTCATTTTTTTGTTTCTTTTCTTTTCTTTCTTTTTGTTTATCTATACTTTCTTTCTTTCTATCTTTTCTTTTTTTATTCATTTTTCTTGTTTGTTTTTTTCATTTTTTTTCTTTTTGTTCTTTTTTTTTTTCTATATTTCTTTTTTTGTTTGTTTTTTCTTTCTTTTTTTTTATTTATCATTTTCTTTCTTTCTTTTTTTTTTTTTTTTATATCTATTTTGTTTGTTTCTTTCGTTTTTGTTTTTTTTTTTTTTTTATTGTTTATCTATACTTTCTTTCTCGATCTGTGTTTCCTTTCTTTTTTATCATCATTCATTCTTTTTTCTTTTCTTTCTTTCTTTCTTTCTTTCTTTATGCATCTGTATTTTTTTGCTTTCTTTCTTTCTATATCTGTATTTCCTGCCTTTTTTTTTCTATAATTTTTCTTTCAGAATTTTTATTTTCTTTCTTTCTTTTTTTTAGTTGATGTATACATTCTTTCTTTTGTATTTTCTTTTTCCTTTGTACATATCTTTTTTTCTTTCTTTTTGCTTTTGTATTTTCTTTATTCCTTTTTTGTTAATCTTTATTTTCTTTCTTTCTTCCTCTTCTATATCTGTATTTCCTTTCTTTCTTTTTTGTTCATCTTTTTTCTTTTCTCTTCCTTTCTTTCTCTTTTTTTTTAGTAAATCTATATATTCTTTCTTTCTTCTTTACTTACTGCATTTTCTTTTTCCTTTGTGCATATCTTTTTGTTTCTTTCTCTTTGCATATGTATTTTTTCTTTTTTGTTAATCATTATTTTCTTTCTTTCTTTTTTTCTGCATCTGTATTTCCTTTCTTTCTTTTTTGTTAATCTTTATTTTCTTTCTTTTCTGCATTATTCTGCTCAGCATATATTTGATGATAACTAATTAACACAGGTTCATCTCCCACATTGATCCCAGCTCTAACAATCTGATTAGGTTTTGATCCTTCCCTCTGATCTCTTTTCCTGATCAGATTACCCATGTTAAATGTGAAACTTAATGAAGCTGAAATTCACCTGTGAATTTGCCAGAGCATGCAAAGCTGGTATTAACTCTATGAATCTTGTGCATTTTACTGAGTATAAGCATTAAAATAAGCCAGCATAAAATCTAGTAAATGAGAGCTACATATATCATTTATATTAATGTGTATCAAAAATATTTTCATTTTTTACAATCCTTTACTCTAAAGCCAGTCAATTTTGCTCTTCAAGAAATTAAAAGTAATGTTAATCATTATCTTCTGTATTCTTAATTGTTAGTTTCAATCCTATCTGGGAATGCTGATTTTCTAACCATAGCTCAGATGTGGCATAAGGCCGAAAGTATGGTTCACCAAGTGAGGATCGAACACACTTTTCAATCATAATTGATCTAGCGAGATAAGCATTACACCACATCAAGGTGCCCCATCCTATCTGGGAATGATTGCAAAATACTTTCCCCTCCCCTTTTTATAAGCAGAAGCACACAAATGCATGCTGGAAATTTTTCCTAGCCAGTAAAATAGGCCAGTTCTTGGTTTCATCTGACTCATTCCCAGTTTGTCTTGTCTTGAAGTCAGAACGCAATGTTTGCTTGTCTGAACTTGCTTTTGTACGTTAACCCCAATTCTTAGTTCATGAGCTTTTTGCCTTATTACTGTTGCTTTGCCTTATTACTGTTAATTTGCCTTGTATAATTCAACCACATTGATGTGGTTATAGTCATCCTTTCACTTTCTTATCCATGTGACTATATTACCTTCTCCACTAAACAGTGGTATCACATCTTTACCCAATCTCACTATTCGAGACTCCATATTACTGAAATAGCTTGTGGCTCAAAAAATTAAAAAAAAAGCTTCTCCTAGGATCACTCTCATCATTCTCTTAAATCTCCTTCCTCTCTCACAACCCTTCTCCTATGAAACAAATGAGAAAATTACGCACTCCTATTTTCAGTGGAGCTTTATAGCTTTTCTTCCTTCCAATAATTCACCTCTTCCTGCAATATCTTTCTATAAAAATAATTACTGCCTGTCTTCACTTCTTCTCCCTCACCATGAGGTAAGCAACATTCCATTTTCTCTTCCTCTTTCATTCAAGCTACAGTGTGTGTTATGACTATAAGAGGAGTTAGTAGGAAGTTTAATTGATTGATTTGTTTTTTATGGCTTGTCAACTCTTTGGGTTTATTTAAGGCTGAAACATACTTGGGATCGTGAGAATAATTACTATTTCATGGATGCAGACGTTAAATGCATGAGGGCATTCTTGCATCCTCTATCTTTGTTTGCTTTCTTTCTAGAAACATATATATAGATTCAATGTACTTCAGAATTAATTTAAAAAAAGGTTAGAAGTTTACTCTGTCTACTGCTGTGATACCAAGAATTTGTGGGCAGGGCACAGGGAAGCTAAATTTGTGGGCAGGGGACAGGTAAGCTATTACACGGCATAATGTACATGCTAACTAAGGAACAAGCATAATTATAATATGATTATTTACAAAGCTTTATGGAGTAAAGTACAATAATAGGGCAGTAACTTGTGAATATATATATATATATATATATATATATATATATATATATACATATATATATATATAGGGTGCAATGGGTAAATTGTTGCTATTTTATATTTTTAATTTTATGTATGCATGTTGTTTGTTTTTGATTTTGTCAACTGCACAGTATAGTAGGGTCAGTTGGGCACCATCTGTGAGAAAAAGAACACCATAGCACTCCACCAGAAATTTGGAAATGGTATGCTGTACTGCTTGGCATCCATGCTAGAATCTCCAATACGAACATTTCAGAGTGTTTGGGTATCAATCTGAGAACAGTGTAGAGAATTCAGAAAGAGTTGGATGAGTCTAATGGTGATTATGAAGGCAGCATGGAAAACCCACTCTGAGATGTCAATTTTATTTTCATTTTTATATAATTTAGATGACAATTTATCCATTGGCACCCTGTGTTATTTATATATATATATATATATATATATATATATATATATATTATAAATTAATTGATTTAAAATATGGTTTTTATTCGCTACACAATTGAGCACTATTTTGTAAAATAAAAATATCTATAAGAACACCGGATTATATATCTTGCTGTTCTTTCTTTTTATTTATATATATATATATATATATATATATATATATATATATGTGTGTGTGTGTATGTATGTATGAGCATTGTTAAATTTTAAAATTTTGTAAAACTAACAATGTTTTTATTTTGGTTTATAAAAATACATTACAATATAAAATCCTGAAATGTGTTAGCAAAGAATAGTTTTCTTTTCGTCTTTATTCATATTGTCTTTTTATGGATATATCTTTTATTCATATCTGAATGTTTACATATAAAAGGTGTATTCTGGCAGCAAGAATTCTTTCAAACATTTGGCTGAATAATATCAACAAGTTTTTAATTTTC